AAAAAATATATTAAAATAGAAATTGTTATTTTAAATTGTAACAATATTTCACAATATTAATCTTTTTATTGTATTTTTTTATCAAATAAATGCAGCCCTGGTGAGCATAAGAGACTTCTTACAGAAACATAAAAAAATGTACTAACCCTAAACCATTGGACTATTAAACCCAAGCTGTCACCATGTGCTAACTGTAACCATGTCCCTTGTTCTCAGTCCCCAGCGTGCCACCTCAGGATGTGTCCATAACAATGCCCACTGACCGTAACGACACTGTGCACCTCAGCTGGGAGCCTCCACCTCATGACGCTCACAATGGAATCATTCAGGGATATCAGGTATTACTAGCATAAAGACACACATTGTGAAACAATGCCCTGAGAGGCTTTCTCTCCAGTAGATATGGAGAAACTCGTAAGAGACAATAGATTTTTTTTCTAGTTCCAAAAATGTAATTGAATTAAAATTCATGTTTGATCAAAGGATGCCTGGAAGCAGTTAAATAATTCATATTTTCAGCCTCAGACTCTCTGATCACATAAAAATGACATCACATGACCCTGCCAAAATCAACCGTTTCAGACAGACTGGCTGCTACAACACTTCAGAGAGTAATTAGAGTCACTATGTTTTTTATTAGTCCAAAATTCAGTTTCTGACCACAAAATTGATGCACATTTTCCGCTGATGTCTTTTCTTTGCATTAGCAGAGACTGCTGCACCATTACAGTCTATTATTGTGATATTATCAATATCATGTTGACCTAAAATCACATCAAAAAATAAATAAATAGATAAATATATAGTATATGTAGCAGCCTGCTTGATTTTACCATGCTGTTGTTTCTGACAGGTGTGGTGTGTGGAGTCAGAGGAACAGAAGACTTTTAACTGGACGGTGGACAGTGGAACACACAGTATTGAGATCAGCACACTGCTGCCCGGAAAGCTGTTCTGGGTCACGGTGGCTGCCGTTAATGGGGCAGGAGTGGGGGTCCAAAGCAACCCATACAAACTGCTCATAGGTAAGCGAACAAAACAGGTATAAAACA